TGTCCCTGCACCTGCCCCTGCCCCTGCCCCTGCCCCTGCCCCTGCCCCTGCCCCTGCCCCTGCCCCTGCCCCTGCCCCTGCCCCTGCCCCTGCCCCTGCCCCTGGGCCCCCCCACCTGCTCAGTAGATGTGCTGGTCACTGTCCAGCCAGGCGAACCCAGTGACAGAACCAGAGCATCACGGCCAGGCACTGAGAGGAGGGCAAGAGCGCTCGGGCCCAGAGCGGAAAAGTACGGCGCCAGGGCCTGCTGTGTACGGCTCATGAGTGCCTGGCTGGTGGCTTAGCTCACGACGCCCTGCAGCGCGGCCCCGTCGTTGCCAAATTTGGAAAGGTCGGCCGGTAGCACCAGAAAGTCAAACCTGGAGGGGGCCGACCGGGAAGGTCATGTGGTTGGGGGTTGGGTTGACGAGTTACGCCATGTCTTGTTGGGTGCAAGCAGCAAAGGTTCAAAACATGTCAATGCGCTGCCAATACGACCAAAGCAACTGCGGGTTTCTTCTCCACCACCATATCCTTCCCCTTCGCCCCCTATCCACTTCCTAAATCCCTTTCCCCCTCCCCTCCCCCTCTCCCTCCCCCCCTCTCCCTCCCCTCCTCCCCCCCCCTTCATCAACCACACGCGCCACACACCAAGGATATCCCCAACCCCCCCGAACACAGAAACACACACACACACACACACAAACACGCGAAAGAAAAACCTAGACATACAAGTACACACACACACACACGCACGCACCTGGCCACGGGGTACAGGTCCCCTTCCTTCCCTCCATAGCTCAGGGAGCAGCCGGCCCAATTGCCCGTGGGGTCCCAGGGAACCGCCCCCAACGCATCGTCCGATCCGCCGGTCTGGGACTTGGCTGCTACCTCCACGACCGCCGTATACGCCTGGCCGACTAGGAGGGGGCATCCCGAGGAGAGGCAGTAGCTGTCGCTGATCAGGCCTGGGCTCTGTGCGGGGTGGGGAACGGGCGGGGCGTGGGTTGTGGGGTGTGGGGTGTAGGACGGGGAGGAGTTATATGGTGCTAAGAAACAAAAAGGATCAACTCTTCAACTGCCGACTGGCATCCAAAGCCATATAGAGAGGGGGAGTTACGTTACTTGTGTGTAGCATCCATAACAAGTAAGAGAAAACAACAACGGCGATAGAGATGTACAAAAATGCGAACCGCCGGTACTGCTGCTACTTATATCGCTGCTGCTGATGATGATGATGATTCCACAAAACAGACAATGGCGCATCTGGTAAGAGCTGATGATGAGCCCGGGATGGGGAAAGCGGTAAAAGTCTGGGCTGGATTCAGAGGGCGAGAAATGACACAACTGCTCAGTGTCGTAAACTTGACTGCGGATACCGACAAATGTAATCGGGGGGTGAAGGTAAAATATGTAACTGGGTGGTTCTTCCCCCAACGGGGGGACGAAAGAAGAGCGTGGTGGGGCGGACCTGATGCGGGAGAATGGCCCGGGGCCCCGGCAAAAGGTATGGGACCCAATAACTGTTGGAGCGCGATCAACAAACAATAATTATTAATATGACGATCAACAAACAAAAATCATTAATATGACGATCAACAAACAATAATCATTAATATGCCGTTAACATCCCGTGTCCTTTACCTCCAACCATAGCCCAACTACCCACACTTGCCTGCAGCGGCGTGACGAATGTACCGCTCTTGGTGCTGGGCAACGCCGCGGCCCGTAGATCTGCCCCGGCTGCCCTCTCCGAAACCAGGTTGGAAGCAGCCAGGAACGCCAGACCGCTATAAGGGTCCCCGTTGGTCAGCTGCGTGAGGACGTCGCCGCCACCCGCCACTGGGGAGGTGGACGGGGGGCCTCACGGCCACCGTCAGGGCGTCCACCGTGATCAGGTCCAGGTGGTTGGTGGGCTCGTCCAGGAGCAACACGTGGGGCCTTATGCGGGCGGGGGGTGGGAGGGGGGAGCCGGAATGGGGCGGGTGGGGCGCGTGTGGGGGCGTGAGGGGTGGGTGAGGACGCCCCAACACACACGATTTCTTAAATAGGGCCTTTTCATTAGGGCCTCTTTAATAGGGCCTCTTGCCGGGGTAGGGAGGGGTAGGGACTGACTGTACAGGGTTTCCGGGTTTCCTCTGTCTTAGTGAACCCTCAGCCCAAGAGCCGGATCAGGCCGGAGAGGTAGAGGAGAGTCTTGTTTCGTGTTTCAGGCGCAGTGCGCAAACTCGCGTGGCGGAGTCTCTTGGCTCGGGAGAGTGTGCGCGGGTGCGGCGCCTCCTACCCCCACCCCCGGGGGGAGGAGAGCGGAGCTAGCGGACCTGCGGCTCTCGGCTGCTTAGGAGGGGGGGGGGCAGAGGCCCCTCACGCCCCTTTCCCGTCCGCGGGAGAGAGAGCCTAGGCGGTCTTTCCGTTGAGCAGCAGCCATGGCCAGTGTCAGGCCCGGTGAGATACTTGTAACCTTCACACATATACGCACACATACAAAGACAGACACACATACACACACACGTGACGGAGCCTTGACTCGTGGGAGTGTACGCGCGTGCGACGCCTTCTCCCCCCCCTCCGGGGGGAGGAGAGCGGAGCTAGCGGATCTGCGGCTCACGGCTGCTTAGGAGGGGGGGGGGGGCAGAGGCCCCTCACGCCCCTTTCCCGTCCGCGGGAGAGAGCTCTTAGGCGGTCTTCCCGTTGAGACTGGGCAGCAGCCCCTGGCCAGTGTCGTCAGGCCTGGTCAGATACTTGTTTATAACCATATATATATATATATATACCATATGTATGTATATGTATGTATATGTATGTATGTATATATATGAATGTATATATTGTATGTATATAAACATATATACATACACGTCCCGTAGGGGGCTGAGTATCACCTACCTGGGCAGCATCTCCAGAGCGAGAGCCACACGACAGCGCTGACCGCCGCTCAGCGCCGCCAACGGCATAGCCGCCACAGGGCCCGGTACGGCAAACTTGCCCAGGTAGTCGTACACCTCCTGAGGCTTCAAATGCGGCGCACAAGCCTGCAGTGCGGGCAGCGGTGAAAAATACCGGTGAGAGGCGGTGATGCGGTGTGATCATAACATTGTACGGCTGTACGGCTGTACGACAGCAGGTCAGCAGGGCGCCGTGAAACTGTGCCAGTAATGTCGAAAACTCCGACAGGTGGTGGCTCCTTCAGCACAGGAAGACGAGGAGAAGAAGCATCACCAACTTGGTCGGCCATTGGCATATCAACAACGTTGGCAGGAGGCTGTTGACCAGCCGCCGCCATCGGCCGGCACGCTCGCGGGTTTGGCCTGCTTGGGCTTCTTGCCCGCCACCGCCTTCACGGCCTGCTTCAGCGCCTTGCGCTCCTCCTCCGTCTCCGCGTACGCCATGCCACGCATCTCATGCACGACCTCCCAGCCGTGGTTGTATGCAACGACCAGCTCCTTCGCGACCCCCCGGAACACGGCCTTGCCGTCGGTGATGGCAATCTCCATGGCCTCGATGTTCCTGAAGCGTTCCTCGCCGGGCCGAGCCGCGAGGACGTTGCGCCACGCGTCCTCAATGTCCATTACCGCATTGTAGCATTTCTCGGTATGCACGCGCTGTCCGCTGAGAGACTTGTTCGCTTTGCCCTCGCTGGCGCCGAAGTCACATTTGAAATCCTCAAGGGCGACACGGGCCCGCTTCGCCGGTGGACCGTCGACCGCCTGCACGTCAGGCTTCGTGTCCATAAGCTTCTTAATGGTTGTCAGCTGCAGCTTCACGGCGTTCAGCTGGTCCATGGCAGCCAGCTGCTGCTTGTTCAAAATTACGCCCGGGTCAGCGGCGCGACGCTCCTGCGCAGCCTTGACATCTTTATTTTCCTTAAGTGCGACTAGTCGCGCTTTTAGTTCGGTGTACATCGTGTTGTAGCTGACCGAAGTCTCGCTGTCAGAATCGGACATTGTAATTGAGGGCGCACTACCACGAAGCGGATCACCAAGGCCTACAGACCAACCGTAGTAGTAGCAGTAGCATTAAGAGTTAGCATTAACAGAATTAGTAGGGAATACCCGGGTATGCGCTTGACCATGGACCGTTGTCCACCACACTACAAAATAAATCTCGGCTACACAGTGCGCAACCCCCCTTCTTCCCCCCTTCCCTTCCCTCCACCCCACCATGCCCCACCATGCTTCATTCCTTCCAGCGCCATCCCATCATCCCCCTCCCAGCCATTTTCAGCCATCAACCACGGTATGCCCCGTGACTTTCCTCCCCCCTCCCTTACTCGTTTCTCTCGATAAGCTCTCTAAGCCCCCTCACGCAGCCGTCCACCCACTCAGCTGAGGCCACATCCCACCAATCGTGCACTCTTAAGGCTGTACACACATCTCTACGTGACTGATGGGCACATCGAGCTGCTGCAACTCGTACTTGGCACCAGCAGCACCTGGGCTGAGACAGCCGCCGCCGCCGCCGCCACCACGGCCGCCGCGCACCAAGGAAACTACGTACAGCACTAGAGCCAGCGCCAGCACCGACAAAACGAGGCCTAGCACCAGCGCCGCCACGGCGATGTTGTATGCGCGGTCCAGCTTGGCAATGTCGATTTGCTGGTTCTGGTCCTGTGGGCAGTGTGCGTCCATTAGGTCCGTCCGCCCATCCATCCATCAGGGGCCATCATCGGCAGGTTTGGAGGTGGCGCAGGTTGGGCCGCCATCATTGCAGCGGAGGTCGGGGGCGAGGTTGGGACACATCATATATCATAAGCAGGGGCCATCATCGAGGCCAGAACGCCAAGGAGGAGGACGAGGAGGAGGAGGCGAACCCAAACAGTCAGGAAGCAGCGGAACTAGGTGGTGAGCAGCAGCAGCAGGTCAGTCAGCCAGCCGGCCAGTCAGCTGGTACACCAACCAAAACCCAATCTCCGTGGCCCTTGGCCTAACCAAACACTCAACCGCAGTTGGCTAAACGGAAGCCA